TGAGCACTGAAAGGAGAAGAGTATGGTCAGAAACAAGTAGCTTAATATTTGGTTATGGCCTGAGGGATAAAACTTTGCTGAAGATGAAGACACCGAATAGTTAATAAAGCCTCTGAACTGCTTCCAATTCTCAGACAAGGAAGCAATAGTTCTCTTATCAGCAACTGCTCTTTCATATTTGTCTATCAAGCTAGCTTTATTAAATTATTCAGCAAAGGTCAAATGTGATGTGTCTTCCGAGTTTTATTATGATTTTTCATGACATTGCCTGAGTAGCTGAATAATAAACAGTGCATGTCAGAACGCTGCAGTGCCTTAGCTATCCACAGGCACATAGGATTATGAGCCTATTCAGTCATCAGTTCTGAGGCAGTATAAATGCGTTAAGCAAAGATTCAAACTACATGTGAACCCTGCAAAGTGTTGCTTGTGGAACCACAACTGAAAAACAGAAGCAAACACCAGTTGTATGTATATGTATATGTATTAGATTTTGAAGCCTGTTTGTATGATAAATACTTTGTATATTTTTGAAAGTCACTAGCCATCTAGCTAAAGCATTTTGCTCCCTGTGACTGTTGAGAAGTTCCCAGCCTGTAATGAGCTGCTACGGAGTGCTGGAAGAGAATAGATTGTGAAAATCTGACAGCCCAAATAGCTTATTACCTACAACAACCACAGAAGCAGACTGCAGTTTTGGTTATTTTTCAATAGACAAATGTCTACAGCAGATTGAGATCAACTCATGTGATTCTTTAAGATAACTCCATGACTCTGTAGCTAATCTAGGCATTTTATCTAGATGCCATTGGAAAAGCCAAAAGACATTAAAAATGGGATCATCTAATCAGGATGAAGGCTTTCTGGCAATTATTAAGTGAGCAACAGAAAATTGAAATGAACAATACAGAGAGGCTTATGAATTCAAGCTGTTCCAGGTTTCTGGTGGTTTCATTGATATTGCCTTAAATTATTTTCTTGTTACTTTATACAGAGATACCTTTTAGTAATCCACTATAGACTTTAAGGCCAGAAGACTTTGTGGATAGAAAACACAGAGAACTTCCAATGTTACTAACATAGCAAAACTGTATGCTGTACACCTTAGCAGTCACCAGGGTGGCCCTCTGACAGTCAGGAATACATTCCTTATAGGTAGTAGACTGCATCACAGAATTCAGACATAACAAACAATTTGCATGTTATAGTCTGCCATACTTCTGAGAAAATGCAAATGCATCCTTATTACAGAAATTATTAGAAGCATTCGATAATTTGAGGTGGGTTTGGGACATGCAAAATTAAGTAACTTCATATTTTTTCATCAAGTTTGAAAATCTAGTTACGCACCTGTAGCCAGACTTTTAAAGTTTGAAATTGCACAGATCTTAATCTAAGGATGAGAAATCTAGCTCTATTATCACATATATGCAGAACAGATTTCTGAGGACATAGATCCTCTTTAACAATCAGTTATTTTCAGTGAAGATTTGTAGGCTCAGGTAGGTATTTTGTGCCTTTCAGAATGGCTGTATGTCCTGGTTCAACAGCATCTGTCACATGGATAGATAAGAGACTTTTCAGCAATACTGAGTACAAACTCCTGTGTGATTACTGGAGAAAAATGTTTATTTATAGGTTTTGTTTAAATGGTTCTTTTTATGGGAGTAGAGGTTATTAGGGGATAAAGGAAGATTTAAATGCAAAGAATAAATTAAAAATCATGGTTGTGCCACAAGGAATAAATATTTTTTCAAAGCCTGTCTCTCAAGAGTTTCCAATCTCTTATGAGATGACAGACAGTTAAGTAGCTGCTGTTATTTATTTCCACCTTGTAAAACACACAAACCCCACCATCCAAAAAAAAAAAAAAAAAGAAAGAGGGAGAAAAAAAAAAAGAAGAAAGAAAAGGAAGTACCCAGAGATCCATCCCTTCTGTAGTTATCAGTGATTAGGTTTTGGACTCTGTTGCTATGATCACATTCTTCCAATCTAATCCATGGCATTTCTGTCAAACACAATATCCATGGCAGCATAAGGGGCATATCTGTGCCCTTTTGACTTTCCAAGTGTTTATATTCAAGAAACATACCTGACTCCCAAGAACCTCTTCAGCCTTGACAGTGTTAACAAGAAGGGATCAATGATAACCCAAGTAATCTTTATAGCTCTGTCAAAGATTCCTGTGGCACATCATAAATCAGAGAACTGCTTAGTCCCTCTGCCCTGGGCTCCTCACCTCCTCTAGCAAGAGCTCATCCCAGTTCCCTACTTGTATGTCTTGCCTGTAAAAGGACTGGATGATTTTCACCTCATCTGTCCTGTTTCCAGGCCCTCCTGCTCAGCATTAGCATCGAACACAAGGAAGTGCTTGGGAGACACTTAAAAAGAGGATGGGCAGCCAAAATACACATAGTCTAACTTTAGGTCAAGAAAGCACCTCACTAGGACTGCAGGGACAGGGGAAAGAAGTTACAGCTCTGTCCCACCCCCCACAGCTGCTGGAATAGAAAAGGACAGACAGTGAAGGTGGCATTTTTCAATCACCCTGCAACAGGCTTTTCCTGGGAAGGAACACTCATACAGATATTAGCCAGTACCAAACTGCAAGCAAGGAGGCTTTTCTCCTATATTTTTCAGCAAAAGGACTGCAAGTGGGGAAAAAGAGGCTTATTTGGCATTTGAAACAAGCCTAGGACACAGGACAAATGCCAAGGGCCAAGTCTTCATAGAGGGGAAGGAACATTGAAAAGAAAAAAAGAATCAGAAAAATTAACAGTTTAGAGAAGGGAACAGATATTAATAACAGACTTTTAAATTTTAATTGTCACAGAAATTAAAAGCATATCAGAGAAAAATAAACTTGAGGGAAAAAAAATAAATCCCCTTTCCCCTTTTTTCAGCATTTTTTTAACATCCTGCTTTCAAAAAGTATGTTCCTTCTTTTTCCAAGAGGCCTAGCGTTAAAATAAAACAAATATAAGAAAAAACAAAAACAACTCACCCAGAAATAGAAGCTGAAAGCAGTTCAAGATGGTTACATTCCCCACAAACTAAGAAAACTAAATGTCCACCAAGCCCAGTGTGAGCCAGGATTTCCTCACACACTGATGTGCTACTAAAACATACTCCATTCATTTTGAAGGGCCTTCCTTATGTTTCAACCAGCTCGTGTGTAAGCCTATCAAAAATTCTTGAAGAAAGAAACAGGACAGATACTACCCATAACCAGTTACAAAGTTCCTATCTTTTATGAAACCATCCCACTTGCCCTACTTCTGGTGGGTTTAAGCCCATTTTATTTTCTTTTAAAAGCACGGCAAAGGTACGATGCTTTCTTCTTAGTGGAAAGGTGCACTACTGGTACCAACAGCACTAGGAAAATGCATAGTTCTGCATTGACAAACGCAGAACTCCAGGTGTCACATTAGCAGTACCTGTGCACAGGGGCTGCCTGAGGCTCCTGCAGCCCTAGGATGTGTGAAGAAAATCCTTACATAATGAATACAGTTTGCATTGAAGATAACATGGTTTATTTCTTCATGATATTCAGATTAAAATGTATCAATGTATTTAGCACAATACTACATTTTAGGACAAAATCATCAGTGCTTTGCAAGTCTTCATAATGTTTATTCATCATAAATAGTAAATATTTACTGAACTTTTTACATGAAACGTTTCTTTTTTTGTTGGGATTTTTTGTTTGCTTGTTGAGTTTTTACTGGGTTTTCTTTCTTTTTTTTTCTTTTTTTTTTTTTTTTACAACACATGTGGTGTTGTAGAGGCTGCAGCATAAAGGTAATATTTCATTTTTCCGTCACCCTTAAGACCAATGTGTGAACTAACTTCTGTACTGAACCTAGTCTAACTCACTACTTCATAGTCCTTAATGCTAAAAGGAATGTATTTGTGTTCTGCCTCCCTCTTTTGTTCCAAAAATAGAGAGAAATAAATAACACTGCCTTCCATCTTCTTCTCAACATCACAAAACACAAATTTATCGACATTCTAAAATGTCACAATGCAAACTTCTTGTAAACCTTGGTTCCTATAATTATATTTTCTCTATTGGATATTATTGTATAATTTAAACAAATGTGTCAAGTACAGGTCCATCTCTATGTCCTGTACATCACTAAAAAATCATGTAAACGTAATCATTTCTTTGTATTGTTTCCTGAAAATGACCTTTAAATCATGATTAGCAAGCTAGATTTTAGTTGTCCAGCAGAATGCAACATTTCTGTATTTTATCATCAGGAATTATGCACTGAAAAAATAAAAGTACCTGCAAAAATATAGTTCTGATTCTATCTATATGACTTTGGATGATCCCAAAGTTTGTGTGAGGTACACGGTATTGCACATTGCTAGGCAGTTGTGAAAATTCAGTCGCATTGTTGTTGATTTTTCTTTCACCTGTGTTTGCTTGAAAAGGTACAATGAACTAGGAAAACTCCACATACAAAAACGGTAAAATCTGGTTTTCATGTTACATAAGATCTCCTCTCTTGGTAAAGCAAAATTTGTAAGTGACATTTATTGACAACATTATTACAGAAGCATGGTAAGGTAACCGGTAAGCTGCTCTGGAAGTCATTCGCACTTATCCTAGCTTCCTATGGACTGTGACATTTCCTCTTGATGACAATTTCCAGTGTGTGAAAAGAAAGAGGTTTTCCTGCCCTTGCTTCTGAAACTGAGCAGTTTTGAAGTTAGACTGAAGTCAGTACTGGATGTCAGATGAGTCAGAGTAAGCAGAGCTCAACTGCTCTAAGTTTCAAAATGTTCCATTTGTGCCAATGAATGCACATTAATTTCAACAACAAAAACTGGAATGTTTTGCAGGGCAGTGACATTAAATACTGCTCTGTTTTGTATACCCACTCGTAATGAACCATGTCGCATTTATTTATTCATTATTGCTTTTGGACTTTGTCTTCTGTATAGCTTTGTCCAGCCTTCAAAAGTCTACTAAAAGCTATGACTGACTCTCGATGGGACTGACCCAGTTTAGACTGCAGTGTGTTGAGAAGATCACTCGTATCCAAGCCTTAAAGTGAGACCAGAAAACAGGACCAGCTTTAACTTGAAGTGGACAGTTCATTTATGCAATATCTGGCTTTAGATAATGAAAGGCACCTGCAAAAAAAGCAAAAGAAACTTTTTAAGTCATACTGTGACAACCTCACAGCATGGGGCCATGCCAACTACAGGTTGACATTGTCATATTTAATACTGATATATCAAAGGAAAGGGACTAATATTTTTATTCCTACGACAAGCTTGACAAAACTCTATGTATCTGGGATTATACACTGTAATGATTCTTGAGCTGACCTCATTAAGAACATGTGTTTCTAATAGTGGAATGCCAGTGGTTATTTCATTTTGGACAACCCTTATGTTTTACCTAATGGCAATCAGGTTTCATGTCTCAACAATTAATAACATCAAGATGTTGTTGACATCACTTAAGAAAATAATTATGCAGCAGAAATTTTGCTTGAACAGTCAGCTATCTCACCAATGCACTCTGCTCACTTTGGAGAGAAGTAGTAGTGAGCCATTAGGATCTATGCTCATAGTTTTGTTACAGGCAGAAAGTACAGACCGTTGATAAATGGGTACAGTATTGCACAATGCAGAAGTCCTAATACTCACTTTGTCCATACTGTCCATACTGGTAGCCTGTGACGGGGTCCATGCTGTAACCCGTGGAGCTGTAGGTCGGTGGGCAGTAGGACTGAGACGTAGGCAGGCTGTCTAAACTCTTCATATGATCCAGCCGCTGGCTGCAGCTGGCTGAGACAGTGGTGGTGGGCTCCAAGCCCCCAGTTAAAGGGGACAGGGCATAATCAGTTTGGGGCTGGTGAGGCACACCACCGTGGTTAGTCAAGAGTCCCATTACCTAAAGGGCAGAAAAATAGAGTTACAATATGTGAAGAACTGTATTGCTTACAGAACTATAAGCGCTCCAATTTCCTAAAATAGGTAGACCTGTTATTCAAACTATGCTTTGAGTATCTAATCCAAAGAAGAAGTGGAATTTGGTCACGCCACCCACCAAAAATGAAACCTGATGTCTAACAACCAATAAAAAGTGAAAGTAAGGGAAAATAAGGAAAAATCATTTTTAAAACGTTTATGATTTTAGAGTGCCTGATCCCATGACCAAGCTGGGATCTCTACAGATGTTTATTCCTTGAGGATTCAATTATAAGACAATAAAAAGCTGCTTGGACATGAGCCGTTATGAAATCAGCAGTTAAGATGAGTTGAGAAAAGATGACTTGAAAATATGTATTTGTCCCCATAAAAGACCTGACTCTCTAGGTCATAATTTCCAGTAGAAGAGCAAAGAAAAATTCAAAACCAACTGTATTTTCAAGCAGAAGTGAAGGAAGCTACATTGATAAGTTCTTTTTGTATAAAAGTCACTTGCACTATAGGTTGATCTGCATTTCCTTTCCCATCACATTTCTATAGCACATTTTGAAAGTAAGCATGACTGAGAGAATTGCTTATTTCTGCTGGAAATAGTCTGAAGCTTAGATAGATGACATACAGCTTCTGCCAAAACAGCATATTCTGATAATTTGCAGGTTGTTCTTCCTCCAGAAAGGCATTACAAATATCTGATGTACGCTATTTGATGATCATTTTGCTTTACTGCACTCCTTACCATAAACTAAAAAGAAATTATTAAAAATGGAGCTTATTATGTAAAGAATGAATTAATGCTCATAAGAACGTATCTAATTCCTACAGAACGTGTCCGATTCCTAAAGATCTGATGTGACATCTTGAATTGTATATATTTTTCATCACAAAAGGGATTATTATTTGGAGGGAGCTTGTGGTCCCAGCTCTGAATTTTGTTTGTTTGTTAATAAATAAATGAAGTAAGACCAGGGATCATGTTTTAAATAGAAAGGAAAACCTATCAAGGTCTTACATATCTAATAAGGAAAAGAGCAAGAGGCACAAGCAGGGTATTTCAAAAAGAGACACCCAGATACCCACATCAAGAACACAAAACTGCATCAGTGCATCCAAGACATCTCACAATAGAAAGAAAAGCTGAGGAAGAAGTTCAATTTTACTCACAGCACTAGAATGTTCACTTCCGCTTCACTAAGCAGAAAAACATGAGTTTAACTGATGGCATTTGCTGACTGTTTCTCAAACTGAAATATTTATGCAACAAAAAAAAGTTTCAAAATACATGCAAAGACTTCATTTAGATACTGAAATCTTGTAGCATTTAAGTTAAAAACACAAAAGAAGAATTTGGATTCAGGCTATATTTTCTATTTCATTCAAATAACCCTTTCAATGCACAAAACTTGTGCACTGGAAGAATCTGAGGTTAATAAAAACAAACAAACAAGAGATAAATTTTAAAAAATCTCTGGAATCACCAGATTGAAAAATCATGTTATTTGCACAGCAACATGCACAGCATTTTGTTCCCAAACCCCTTAAAAGCTGAAATAACTGAGCTCTCAAGTTCTTCTTCTAAAAATTGGTTCCTGAAAACTATTAAAATTTCTAAATATTATTTTAGTAAATTTTTCTATTTTAGGAATTGTAAATGTTTTTCTTGTACATTTGGAAAATCCTACAGTCCTGAAAATATAGCATGCTTAATGATCTAACATTGCATCAGCAGGATACAATATCAGAAACTATGTTCATTTAGGTTATATTGATCCTTGTCCTTTAAAATTAAGACTAACAGAATTAAAAGAAGAGAAAGATCCTCAAAAAGAATAGCTTAAACATTTACATTGAAAATTACTACTTTGGAGAATATTTATGTTGGCACAAGTACCATGGTTTTGACGACAGCTTAAAACACACATGGTTTATCAGAAATCTGAACTGCGTGCAGAGCCCCTTCCATTCCCACAGAGCACCTACGTGACACACATATTTAGAGGGCTTTACTACACTCTGTTCCATGTTCAAGATCAGGGAGCACAAGCCAGGCTCCATCACCATCACAGACCCGCTGAAGTCCAAGTGCAATCACTCTCACATCACACACCATCTCCACCAGGACTTCTAGGACCAGTTGCAGAGTTGAGCAAATAGCTATTTCATCAACTATGTATTTTAACTAGGATTTTTTCTCTTTAATATTTTCAATAAACAACATTATTTGGGCTTTTCCAGCAAAAACAGTGAGCTCAAAAACTTTGGATTTGGAAATAATCTTAGTTAGAGATTAGCCTCAAAAATTAAACCTGGATCCAGACCAGGTTTGAAAAGCCACTCAGACTTCAATAGCATCTATATTTGGGTAGAGATTTATCTTCTCTGACAAACTAAAATGAGCATTTGATGAGATTTATTTTAAATATTTTAAGTTAATTGGATAATAATACAAGTCTTTAGGCATATTTTTATTAAGTGCACTCACACCTACTAGACACTTGGGAGCAGAAGTGACACAGCTCTCCATCTCTGCAGTGGAGAAAACTAAAGTCTGAACAGTAACCATCTTTTCAGAATATCTTCTCCAGAGGCTTTCAGAATCATCCTGCACTTGATTAGTATCTAAATAATTAGATTTTTGGTCATGTCTGTCTTGAAAGCTACAGGGGAAGTAGCCTCAGGGCCAAAGTCTTTCCTATGGTATGTGCCATGACCTTATCACCCATACAAGGAGTTACAGGAAGGGCATGGCTGACTTTCACCTAATCAATTAGAAAGCCATTAATGGGCCACGTCTGTAAGTTGCCCAGCACCCTCAGCTGAGTAGTGTAAAAGAGACACATGAAAATCTGGATTTTGCAACTCAGATATTTTCCTGGTAGCTCTAAATAGGTAAACAGATCTGATTGTTTTACAATAATTAAGGAAGAAAACTCATTTATTCAATCCTTATGCCAGTTATATTACAGGAAAATATGTACTTCCCTCTGAATTACTTCGGGAAAGCCAAGGTAGTAATTGTCAACCTTGCCTCCCTGGATCCCAAAGAAGCTGAAAGAAAAGTCAAGGACTAATCTAACACCTAGAAACAAATGCTGCTGTATTTATTTATTTTAGAAAAGTATTCCTACAAATGCAAAAAATCAGGCTGTGAGGTTTTCAGCCACATATTAGTTTGTCTTCATCATTTACAAAACACATGCAGAAATGTTGATGATGAGCTTTTGAGCTCATATAATAAATGACAGTATATATAACTGATAAAATCGATCTATTCTATTAGAAAACAAGAATGCAAATAGGAGCAAGTGAAGAGAACACAGTAAACTGCAACAACCAAACTCTACACAGAAGTTTTCAGAGAGCACATCCCAAGCAATCGAAAATACTCATCAGGACAAATCCCTTGCTGATGGGGTCAGCACAACATCACTAGCTGACGATATGATCCAGAAAGAGAAAGTGAATGATGAAAGCCTCAAAGACCATGTAAGCAACATGTGGTCCATTATCAGCTATTAGAAAATACTTCTATTATCAACAAAATAAAGGCCATTAAGCTGAGAAGAAGCTTACTCCATTTAGATGAAACTTTATGCCTGTTACTGTGGTTGGTATTTTAGGATGTAGAACCTACCATAGGCACAATAAAATGCTCATATGTTTTAATTCATTTACGCATGCCTGCATTTAATATGCTTTGTGACCATGTCTGCAATTAATATGATTTATGAGAAAAGAACATGTGCAATATTTTTTTAGTACAGTGATACATTTTTTTTCTCCCCTCCTGTGAGTGAAAGATTTAATGAAACAGCTCAAGGAAAATTGTTGGCAGTTAACGTATTAAGTTGAACTGACAGAGTCATGAGTAAACTTTAGTGGAGTTAATGATATCCTCTTATCTGACCCTGACACATTTGCAGCATGTAATTTACAGAAGCTCTGTCCAGGGAATCTTGACAAATGCTCCTAACTATGTCAGGGCAATGTTCCATTCTAATGTAAAACAGATGTGGGTCAGATACCCTCATTCATCACTAACACTGAAAATTTCAAACTCCTTCCGAGATGAATGGCATTACCTGCTGTTAACTTTTCTCACTGTAGAAAAATTTCTCAAAACCAAAATATTGCACAAGAAAGAACACAAAAAGGATGTTTATAATGCATCTAAAAGAAATATTTTAGAAGATCAATTAAGATTAATTAGCTACATGGATCTATATGTAAAGAATCCTAGAACTATGTTGCAGATTCATTTTATATATATCTATATTTCTGCTGAATGTATGAAGAAATCCAACAGAAAGAATTTTTGTGCCAAATAGCAAGCACTGGGAACCACATACTTGGTTAATGAAAACAAGAGCAAATACATTGACTTTGAACATCCAATGATCTGACCTTCTGCATACTCATATCAAATTAGACCTCATACTGATTTCACACCACTAAACATCAATGAAATTAGAGAAGGTGCACTAGTGTACATTTAGAGTAATTAAAAGGGTAACTTGATCCTTCACAAATTACATTTTTATCTACAGGAGATTACTGCTGTTCACAACATTATCACAGTCTGTCACAAAACTCATCCCTTTTTTCAGGTGCTAGATCCTGGAGTAACAGGACTAGATAACATTACCGAAATAATCCAGAGAAGCTAATTCTCTAGCTCCTGGTTGTATGGAAAAGCTTCAAAAATTTAATGTCTGAAAAGGTAAAACAAAGCCCCAAAATGATCGTATAGTCACAATTTATGTGAATAATGTATATGAATCTATAACTACATATATAAAATAAAACATCTCAAAACTTTTTCAGGCAGTCTCAGAGGTTGCAGGCTTGTGAGTTTAAATATTCAGATATGGCAATATTACTTACAACAGTTCATAACACGTCTAAATTTGAGATTAGGTTGCTGCCTGTCTGTGAACTCTTCTCCTCCTACGTTCCACTTAACCC